TAGTAGTAGTTATTTAGTATAGTAGTAGTAGTAGTAGTAGTTGTAGTCGTAGTTGTCGTAATAGTAGTAGTAGTAGTAATTATAGTAGTAGTAGTAGTAGTAGTAGTAGTAGTAGTAGTAGTAGTAGTAGTAGCAGTAGTAGTAGTAGAAGAAGTAGTAGTAGTAGTAGTAGTAGTAGTAGTAGTAGTAGTAGTAGTAGTAGTAGTAGTAGTCGTAGTAGTAGTAGTAGTAGTAGTAGTAGTAGTAGTAGTAGTAGTCGTAGTAGTAGTAGTAGTAGTAGTAGTAGTAGTAGTAGTAGTAGTAGTAGTAGTAGTAGTAGTAGTAGTAGTAGTAGTAGTAGTAGTAGTAGTAGTAGTAGTAGTAGTAGTAGTAGTAGTAGTAGTAGTAGTAGTAGTAGTAGTAGTAGTAGTAGTAGTAGTAGTAGTGGTAGTAGCCCGCATGCCGCCACCCATTTTGGCACACCCTTCACGAGGATCGTGGCTTCACAGGGAGCTCCACCGAAGGCCCCAGCAGCAGGGTCCGCATGCCGGGACCGCCACCCATTTTGTCACACCCTCACGAGGATCGTGGCCCCACAGGGACCGAAGGCCCTAGCGGGAGGGTCTACATGCGGGGGCCGCCACCCATTGTGGCACACTGCTCACGAGGATCGTGGCCCCACAGGGGGCTCCACCGAATGCTCCAGTGGCAGAGTGCGCATGCGGGGACCGCCACCCATTGGGTCACACCGCTCACGAGGATCGTGGCCCCACGTGGGGGCTCCACCGAACGCTCCAGTGGCAGAGTGCGCATGCGGGGACCGCCACCCATTTTGGCACACCGCTCACGAGGATCGTGGCCCCACGTGGGGGCTCCACCGAACGCTCCAGTGGCAGAGTGCGCATGCGGGGGCCGCCACCCATTTTGGCACACTGCTCACGAGGATCGTGGCCCCACAGGGAACTCCACCGAATGCTCCAGCGGCAGGGTCCGCATGCGGGGACCGCCACCTATTTTGGCACACCACTCACACGGTTCATGGCCCCACAGGGAGCTCCACCGAAGGTCCCAGCAGCAGGGTCCGCATGTGGGGGCCGCCACCCATTTTGGCACACCCCTCACGAGGATCGTGGCTTCACAGGGTGCTCCACCGAAGGCCCCAGCAGCAGGGTCCGCATGCCGGGACCGCCACCCATTTTGGCACACCCCTCGCGAGGATCGTGGCCCCACAGTGAACCCCACCGAAGGCCCTAGCTGGAGGGTCCGCATGCGGGGGCCGCCACTCATTTGGCACACCTTTCACAAGGATCGTGGCCCAACAGGGAGCTCCACCGAACGCTTCAGCGGCAGGGCCCGCATGCGGGGACCGCCACCCATTTTGGCACACCCCTCGCGAGGATCGTGGCCCCACAGGGACCGAAGGTCCCAGCAGCAGGGCCCGCATGCGGGGGCCGCCACCCAGTTTGGCACACCACTCGCGAGGATCGTGACCCCGCAGGGGGCTCCACCGAAGGTCCCAGCGGCAGGGTCCGCATGGCACACCCCTCACGAGGATCGTGGCCCACACGGACCGAAGGCCCCAGCAGCAGGGCCCGCATGCGGGGACCGCCACCCATTTTGTCACACCACTCACGGGGATCGTGGCCCCACATGGAGCCCCACCGAAGGCCACAGAGGCAGGGTCCGCATGCGGGGACCGCCACTCATTTTGGCACACTCCTCACGAGGATCGTGGCCCCACAGGGAGCTCCACCGAAGGCCGCAGAGGCAGGGTCCGCATGCGGGGGCCGCCACCCATTTGGGCACACCCCTCACGAGGATCGTGGCCCCACAGGGAGCTCCACCGAAGGCCCCAGCGGGAGGGTCTACATGCGGGAGCCGCCACCCATTTTGGCACACTGCTCACGAGGATCGTGACCCCGCAGGGGGCTCCACCGAAGGTCCCAGCGGCAGGGTCCGCATGGCACACCCCTCACGAGGATCGTGGCCCACACGGACCGAAGGCCCCAGCAGCAGGGCCCGCATGCGGGGACCGCCACCCATTTTGTCACACCACTCACGGGGATCGTGGCCCCACATGGAGCCCCACCGAAGGCCACAGAGGCAGGGTCCGCATGCGGGGACCGCCACTCATTTTGGCACACTCCTCACGAGGATCGTGGCCCCACAGGGAGCTCCACCGAAGGCCGCAGAGGCAGGGTCCGCATGCGGGGGCCGCCACCCATTTGGGCACACCCCTCACGAGGATCGTGGCCCCACAGGGAGCTCCACCGAAGGCCCCAGCGGGAGGGTCTACATGCGGGGGCCGCCACCCATTTTGGCACACTGCTCACGAGGATCGTGGCCCCACAGGGACCGAAGGCCCCAGCGGCAGGGTCCGGATGCGGGGGCCGCCACCCAGTTTGGCACACCCCTCGCGAGGATCGTGGCCCCACAGGGGGCTCCACCGAACGCTCCAGTGGCAGAGTGCGCATGCGGGGACCGCCACCCATTTTGGCACACCGCTCACGAGGATCGTGGCCCAACAGGGAGCTCCACAGAACGCTTCAGTGGCAGAGTCTGCATGCGGGGACTGCCACCCATTTTGGCACACTGCTCACGAGGATCGTGGCCCCACAGGGAGCTCCACCGAATGCTCCAGTGGCAGAGTCTGCATGCGGGGACCGCCACCCATTTTGGCACACCACTCACACGGTTCGTGGCCCCACAGGGAGCTCCACCGAAGGCTCCAGTGGCAGGTCCGCATGCGGGGACCACCACCCATTTTGGCACATCTCTCACGAGGATCGTGGCCCCACAGGGAGCTCCACCGAAGGCCCCAGTGGCAGGGTCCGCATGCGTCAACGCCACCATTTTTGGCACACCCCTCACGAGGATCGTGGCCCCACAGGGAGCTCCACCGAAGGCCCAGTGGCACAGGCCGCATGCGCCCGACGCCCAGTTTGGCACACCCGTCACACGGTTCCTGGCCCCATGTGGAGCTCCACCGAAAGCGGTACCCACAACGCGGTATTCACAATTGCGCATGGTTGGGTCTTTCGCCCGTATAGTTTTTTTTTTTGTTTGTTCTTTCTTCTGGAGCTTCCGGGAGCCTTCAGTAGCCTCTGGAGGCCGCTGGAGGTTCCGAGGACCTCATGGGGAGCTCGAGGGACCTCTAGAGCTGGGCCCCCAGAAGTCCAGACCCCTTCCCGGGGGTGGGGGCGGCCTAATCATCTCGAGTCGTTCGATGATCCTCAGGACGCGTGTTAGCGAACTGTCCCCGGCCCGCCTCAGGCCGCCTGAGGCCCCGCCCGCCCGTGCTCTGTCTCCCCAATTAGAGCTTTGCGTAGCCCGCCTAGCTTTAACCGGAAGAGGCTCGGTCTCGACCCGCAGACCAAGAAGTGAGCGAACTGTGGTCTTCGTACCCTGTTCAGCTCCGCCGATCGCACGCGCGTTGTGTCGGCCCTCATTCCCCCCCTCTGCGTCGTATCGAAGGGCTTCGGTGGACGAGCACACGTTGGCGTTGGCAACGCGCTCTCGGGATCATGGAGCCGTCTCTTGACGGCCCCGGGGGCCTGGAGCCAGCCTCGCGGGCAGAAGTCGAGGGAGAGAGCGCCCGCCGTGATTTTGCGGGATGCTGGTGGGCCGAGGGTACTTCCCTCCCGTCCCGCTCCCCTCCCCTACGACGACTTAGCATCGTTATACCTATACCATGCACGCTAGTATAGCCTTTGTGGATGAGGAAGGGTCTGATGATGCTGAGCGATGGCGGCGACGGCGACGAGGGCGGCAACGGCGGCGGCGCCGACGCTTGCGGCGGCAGCGATCACGATTCCGAGATCCGAGTCGCGAACAAAAACAACAGCGTATCAAATCAGGACTGGGGCCTCAGACCCATCTTTCTGCGGTGCCTCTCGAGCCAGTCCGAGCTGCGAGGGTCCCAGGGCCCGCCGGGTGTGAACACATTTGCGACGCCAGGATCTCAGGCTAATTAGGTGTGGATCCGCCTCTTCAGAGTCGACCCGTGGACTTCGACGTGGGTGCGTCTCGATCAGATTCCTCCCGCTGGCGGCGCGGACGGCGGGGGCTCGGGAGGTATCAGGGGCAACATCAGGTGGGGACGCACCGACCCCCACTCGCTCATTCGTCGCCCGTGCAGGTCCCATTTCGATCCGATCTATCCGATTCGAGATGAATTTTGGCCCGTTCCGTCCGATGCGGTTCCGATGTTCCGACGACCCGATGCGGTCTGAGGCTTGCATGGCGCGGTTGTGCATCCTGGCGCGGCCGATCCGGTTCGATTCCGACTCCGTGCCGATGCAGGCCGATCCGACGCAAATGCCGATTTGAGCCGCCGTCCCGATTCGACGCTGACTGATCCTGCAATGGGGGTCAGATGGCCCACCCCGCCCATCGGCGTCACCCCAACATACTTATACTATATGTGCGTCGCCTTCCCCAGGGGCGACGCGCGCACCGAGAAATCTCATAGTATATGTGTCGTGGCAGGCGCTTTCTGGCCACACCGCTCGGGAAACGATACACTACAAGATGGGCGCATACTACATGTTCGGGTCGGACGCGCGCCTCCAATGAGGACATATAGTACTAGCACGTCCTTGTGCCTCCCAAGATGGCCCACCCCGTCCAGGAACGTGCTCATTCGCCAGGGGGGTTCCCGCCGCCGATCCATCAGCGATGCATCACCGATCCCAGCTCGATGCGCCCCCCTGGAGGAGGAGGAGGAGGAGGAGGAGGAGGAGGAGGAGGAGGAGGAGGAGGACGAGGACGACGACGAGGAAGAGGAGGAGGAAGAAGAGGAGGAGGAAAGGAGGAGGAGGAGGGAGGAGGAGGAGGAGGAGGAGGAGAGGAGGAGGAGGAGAGAGGCGGAGGAGGAGGAGGAGGAAGAGAGGAGGAGGAGGAGGAGGAGGAGGAGGGAGGAGAGAGGAGGAGGAGGAGGAGGAGGGGAGGGGGAGGGCCCCCCCCCCTGAGCCCCTCCCCCTGTCGTTGCCCCTGGGAGGAGCCGCCCGCGGCGCGCCCAGGCCGAGGGGCCGCGCTGGCTCTCCGCGTCCCCGGTCCGCACCGCCGCCGACTACGGCCGCGCCGAGCCCGCGGCCACGCCCGAGGGCGAGTTCCTCGCCCGGCCCCCAGACCCTCGGAGGAGGAGGAGGAGGAGAGCGACGAGGAGGAGGAGGAGGAGGAGGAGGAGGAAGAGGAGGAGGAGGAGGAGGACGATGAGGAGGAGGAGGAGAACGAGGAGGAGCAGCACGACGACCATGACCAAGACGTCGCGGGATCTCGTCGACGCTGGTCGTGGACATGGTCCATGCCAGCCGTCGCCGACACTCTTGAGGATGATCCATGAATTGACGATGGACGGTGACAGAGATCGGCACCGACGTTTCTGCGTTCAGTCTTGGTCATGTTCCTCGATCTCTTTCCCTCCATCTCGTGGCGAAAGCCTCCGGTGGCCCTCGCCTGGCCGCAGGACTGCCAAGTTACATCCCTGCTGGCAGAATGCCCAATACAGCTCTTTGGAGTATTGAAGAGATCATTGTAGCGAGTACTCTAGCGAGCGAAGTTCAGTGTCGAGGGCATTCCAGAAAGTATCACAAGGGAGGCCAGAAGGCAGACCGCACTGGAGATCACAAGGGAGGCGATCAGGAAGACCAGACTGAAGATCAGATAAGGGAGACACGACCAGAATGGTGACCAAATAGGGGAGACCATACGGGAGACAGCACCCGAGACCATACCGGAGACCATGCGTGAGACCACACGGGAGGCGGTACAGCAGATCGTATGGGAGACCATCAGGGAATCCTTACGGGAGACCGTGCGGGAGACTACGGCCCACCGATTTCAAGCAGTGGCGAAGCGTCCAGGCGTGCCCAGAGGCCTACCAAACACTGTTCTAAGAACCTTTTGTGGTTTCCACGAAGTGTCCTTAGAACATTTCTGGCTGGGACTGTCTTGTATTCGGGTTTATGTTCTAAGAACATTGTTTGTGCTCTTAGAACATTCTTGGGTTCTGAGAATATTTCCTGGTAGGCCTATAGAAATGCCGGGACGGTCGGTCCCTGCCCACCGATTCCTGATCTGGAGGAGCTCACACCTGTCGGGTCGCAGTGCGCAGGCAGACAAGTTGTCCATGGAGAAGCTGCTCGGGATGAAAACCAGCCTCGTGAAGTGGTCCACTCCTGTGGGGCTCCAGTCCCTGAGGCCCTGGGGTCGCAGCTTCTTGCGCACGTGACGGTGGTGCCCCCAGACTCGGGCCCCAGTGCCCTCGCAGATCGATCCGGCTCGAGAGCGTCGCAGAAAGATGGGGTCTTGGGCCCCAGTCGTGATGTTTCACGATGCTGCATGCTTTTTCGCCGCGTCGGATCTCAGGGATCATCGGGCAGTGGCAGTGGGGATGACCTGCATGGGGGGTGGCCAGCAGTGCCAATGGGGCTGACCAGCGGAGGTCGAGCCGTCGAGGAGGAGGGAGGGGAGGAGGAGGAGGAGGAGGAGGAGGAGGAGGAGGAGGGGGAGGAGGAGGAGGAGGAGGAGGAGGAGGAGCCCTGGACGTTCCTGGGCATCTTGGGGGAGTTCTGGCGGGCTCTGGGCTCGGCTGCATTCGGCTGGCTCGGTTCGCTCGGTTGCTGCGTCCTTCTGGGCCGCCTTTCGGTCCATCGGTTTCGGTCGGTCTCGGTCTCGGTCTCGCTATCGATTCAGTCGGTTTTCGGTTTTCGGTGCCGCCGTTGACTTCAATGGGCTCGTGCTCCCCAGACGCCTTCGCGCTTGCGAATCACAAGATACGCAGCGCATGTTCCCGGAAAGGGCGTGGGCCCAAGGTTCTCTTTTAGTTGGTACCCCCCTGTGCCATGTTGGGCAAGGGCCGGCGACGAAGTCATTTGCGATTGAACACGCGGTGACTTACCATGATGTTCAAAGCATGCCTTTCGCGCGTGCCCGCTCGAGGAAAGTGTGCCCCCCCCCATCTCGGAGCCTCGATACATGCCGGGGTCCGCAGGCCACCGCTTTCTCTTGTAGAGAAGAGGGTGCGAATCGTTTTGCGCAGAATCCTCGATCAATGCTGAGACCTGGCGACACTCGAATCGTACATACAATGACCGAATGCTGACCTTTTGCGTGCCCCCTCGAGGACGGCGCGCCCCGCGCGCAGGCTCATCGTTTGCTTGCCTCGAGCCTCCCGCTTGTTCTGCTTTTTTCAGGTGCCCGCTCGAGGATGGCGCGCCCTGCGTGCCGAGCATCAGAGGATGTCTCGTGCGAAACGTTTGTGCTGCAGCGCTTGAGAGGCCTCGGCGCCACAGGATGCCCAGGCGGTTCTGGGAGTGCGGTCGGACTACTCGCAAGGGCTCGTGACCCTGGAAGCGTGACAACGTGTGGGCTCCTAACGCCACAGAGCGGGACAAGCGTGAATACATGTGGATCCTAACGCCCCAGATCAGGACATAAGATGTGTGCATAACAAATACCTGCGGGCAAGCGCTCCCGACCCAGGCAGGTGAGAAGCAGCCAGGTCTAACGTCACGCCCAGTGTGCATGACGGCCACTGCCGAGATTGCGAGCTTCATGGAGCAAGCCTGGGATTATGTTGTTCCAAAGTATTTGAGCCTTGATCACCAGAAAGCACTTCGAGCACCAGAACAGTGCCCAAAAACTTTAGGGTTTTCACGTGTCGGGCCCTGGGAGACACTCGTCCGACACTGTTTCGACACTCTTTCGACACTTTTCCGGGTGCTCGACATTATTTCTGGGATGTGGTCTTTAAGTACGACGGGGGCAACATAAGTCTGGGAGGAAGGCGTGGCAGACTCGAGGACCCGAGCGGGCGTGCGCCAACCCAGCCGAAAAGGGCAGGGAGAGGAGAGGAGCACGGCACTCGAGACAGCGAGGCCTGAGACCTCCCCCTGGAGCGCCAGGCCACCTGCAACAACGCTGCCCCTGCAGAAGGGCAGCCACGCAGGCCGACTTTTGCAGTGCAGCGACGGACCGTCAGCACTCGGCCGCTCGCAGTGGTCACGTGCACCAGCAGGGGGACCGACAACGCGAAGACGGGCTGTGAGCGGGAAGCAATAGCACGTGTCACAAGCATGTGCGATGGCCCAGGGGCAGATGGGGGAGACCCCTCGGGGGGAGCGGGCGAGCAGGCACTCCTAATCGAAAGGCAGGCTTGTGCGAACAGTGTTGACCGAGGCACCGCGTGCAGCCGTACACTCTCGAGAGGCAAGTTCGCTGACGAATATTCACGGCTGTCACAGCCTGACTGGATGCAAGGCTCTGGCAAAAGAAGATAAGAAAGCCTGTACGCAACAGAAGGCGACAGTGACAGAGCGCATGCAGACGATGGGGAGACCGATCGGGGGCGTCCCATGAGCAGGGGACTTGAACACACATACAACAGCACACCATATCCAAGCTTCAGAAGGGAACGCCAAGAGGAGGTTCGAATGCATGGGCAGGCACTGCACATAGCAACCGAGGAGTCAGCTGGCTTTGCTGGCAGGCATTGGACAGGTGTCGCTGAACCCTTAAGATCTGCGACCGAGCCAAGCAATCAAAGCATCCTTCCCTTGTGGAGGAGGGTCCTCACTGCAGCACGCTCGGCATTGGAGCCTCCTGCCCGTGTTGTGCAGTTCAGCACTGCGCCAGCGTCCATCATGGGTGATGTGCTCACGGAAGTGGCGCGCTGGTGGCCGATTGGGAGCGCTCTTAAGGCAGTGGTGCCAGCCACGATTCGCTCGCGAGACGGGCCACGACCTCTGAGGCTGCACTGTGCTAGCACTCTCGCTCCCACCCCGTCGAGACTTCAGGGCAGGCGCCCCGGAGGCACCGCGCGCGGGTGCCGGAGGCCTCCTTCGCTCCCTGGCGGCGCACCGGGTTGCACAGCGCTTCCGTGGGAAATTCCAGCACGCCTTGCCTGGAGGTGCGCGCTGGTGTCTGCCACGAGCAGCCTCTGGTGAGCCGTCGCGTTGGCGCAGCAGCCGTCTCGGGCAGCCGATGCTCCTCTGGCGTGGGAGCAGCCCGCTCCCGAGCAGAGCGGGTGGGCTGCGCATCGGCACAGCTGCTGGAGGAGGAGGAGGAGGAGGAGGAGGAGGAGGACGAGGAGGGGGAGGAGGAAGTCACACTGCTTGCATGCCCCGTGGCGTTCTTTCGCCTCGTCTGAGCCGGCCTTGCGGGCGCGAGTGCCGTCTCTACCTTGAGACCGAGGGGATCGCCAGCGCGAGCGCGGGCGATCCATTGGTACAAGCGCAGGGGTGTGCCGGGACCGAACGTACAGACGACACTTCTCGTCCGCACTCGTTTGCGTGCTGTCCGCACTGCCAACAGCAATAGCATTCAGAGCACGGCGCTTGGCAACTGCCTCTCTAGGGTAGAGGCGTTTGGCCTGAGGAGTCATCAGGGAACATCCCATGGAGACAGACAGGGGGACGTCATCTTCCACATGAGCTGGCCATCACATGCACTACTATCATCACGGGCATCACTGGTCCTGTCTGAGGTTGGACGACGGCGTTGATTGAGGCGGTGCGCAACTGGAGGCACTTCCGCATGGGCGGCCTTGGCCGCGCAGCCGTCGGAGTCGAAATCACGAGGTGGCGGCGGAGGTACTGGCAGCAAAACAGCAGGACCAGCCTCAGGAGCTTGCAAGCGCTCGTCGAGCGGAAGCGGTAGAAGAACGAGAGCGCCTGGCCTTTGGAGAATTCCCGTGGCAGGTCTCTTAGCAAGGAGAGGCCAGCCGTAGGTGGTGAGGGCGTCGGCGGGCGCAGCGGCGGCGGCGGCAGGGGCGGCGCAGCACCCTGCCATACTGGGGGCGGCGGCGGCGCTGGCGGAGACGGCATCGCACATCGCAGCACCCTGCCACACTGGGAGGAGGCGCTGGCGCGGCACCCTCCCAAGCTGGCGCTAGCAGGCAGCAAGAGCGGAGGAGGCACGGGATACCTCCCCCGCCTCGCGCCTCATTCACGGCAGCGCGGTCAGGAACCCTCGCGAGTGGCACGCTGGCCTCAGACCGCGGACGTGTGCGAGAAGAGGGGCAACACGGCTGCGGCAACGGCTCGGGCCTGAGGAGGAGGAGGAGGAGGAGGAGGAGGAGGAGGAGGAGGAGGAGGAGGAGGAGGAGGAGAAGGAGCAGGAGCAGGAGGAGAAGGAGGAGGAGGAGAAAACTGGGAGGATGCAGATGGTGAAAGCTGCTCGCTATCTCTGCTGCGAGGGCGGATTCTTCGCCTCGAGGCGTGCGATCGCGGGGGGCTCCGCGGCCTGGCGGCCGAGGCCTGGGTGCAGTCGGAGTCCCGGTGGCAGCCCCTCATCGACGCCTTCCAGGGCAGCCAGAGGCACCGGGGGTCAGACGGCAGAGATTATGTCGGGCCTGTCCCCCATTCAGGAGGATTTTCGACGAAAAAGGAAGAATACCCCCAAAATGCCAAAAGGCCAAAACATACGCAGAAAATGGTCCCCGGACTATTTTTGGATTATTTTTGGATTTTTTTTGTTCGTCGAACATCCCCCTGTAGGGGGACAGGCCCGACTTAGGGTAAAGACACACTTACACCCTAGACCGAATACCCCTCCCTCGTTTTGCAATTCGGGGGCCCCTGGGCGGCCCTCGTCGCTCCGGCTGGCTTCGCCTCGGAACGCTGTTCCGAACGCGCCCTGAAGAGCTCGAAGGAGCCACAGGCCAGTTGAATTGGTAGATGCTGCTTGCGTGCTAGCTGGGGCCGCCACTCCTGCGAATCCTTGCAGGCCATGCGCACTTCTTCAGGAGTCTCCATGGGGCCTGGGCGACCGCTCACGATGCGGTCGAGTGTGCAGCACCGCTGCTGTAGGGAACGGCAAAGGGCAGCTGGGGATCTTGCCACCCCTCAAGGTACAAGCCCGTCGTGAACGGCACGGTCATCAGGCCCCACATTGAGAGGGCCGACTTCAAGAGGACCCTGTCGATGATGAGGTTCAAGGCCCGTCTGGGCCTGGCGCCGAACCGCTGGCGCCCTGGGGGGGAACTTCTAGGAGGGGGCACATGCTTTTTCTCTCCACTTTCAGGGCTTCGGGCCTTTATTAGCGCCCTAGTCCGTCCTGGCTGCACCCATGTTTGCCACTTTCGGAGTCGATAGTCGCATGCCTTTTTGACCACCGCTCTTCTTGCTCTTCCCTCTCCCTCCCTTCTCCAATTCTTCGAAGGGGGTGCGCTTAGCGTGGGCGGTCGGCCCTCGCTCCTGGCAGGCCCGCTCGGACGACCTGGCAGCTGGAGCCCCTGGCAGCAGCAGGAGGCCGGGCCAGGAGGACTCGGACACGAGCGCAGTCAAGAACGGCATAGATAACGGGGCCACATGCGAACCCTACCCCTACCCCCCACGATTTCTGGAGGGGAGGGTGGGGTTCACTTCGCCCTCAGAAATCGTGGGGGGTAGGGGTAGGGTTCGCATGTGGCCCCCTAACAGAGGCGCCAGATTTTGCTCAAGCAGCACTGGCGCTCGCCCAGCGCGAGGCGCGCCCAGCCTTCCCCGCTGACCAGCAGGGCCCGCGCGGCCTCCGATGCCTCTGCTGCCAGGGCCCGGCAGCGTGTCCCCCGTGGCGGTGCACCACCACCAGCCCAGTGGCCAGAGACGAAGAGGGCAGAGGACGAGGGAGGGGGAGAGCGACAGGAAGCAGAGAGAGAGAGAGAGAGAGACGGGAGAGAGAGAGAGAGAGAGAGAGAACAAAAAAAAAGAGGAGCGGAGGAGAGAGGCGCGCGCGAGGACGACGAACACACGACGACGCCGACGACGACCGCCCGCGCGCGCCCGGCTTAAACAGGCTGCCCGTTACGTGGGTCCAGGGAGCTGAATCACCTCGTGCGTACGGTCATCAGCAGCGTGCTTGCATGCCTTGGCTTGCCGAAGCAGCTCCGATGCAAGGTGCGCAAGCTCGCCGTACACTTGACTCTGGCCTGGCGGCGGCGCTCGGATCTTTCACTTCCTGCGCAGTGCGCCGAGGAACACTATCTGGAGCCGAGGTCCCACCCTCGTCGGTATGATGGCACTCTCTGGTTCCCGAGACACTGTCTGTGCAAAATGACAGAGCGCCCGTTCGCCGCAAGCTGGTTGGACAAGCGAGTGTGCCACGCTTTGCCGACTGCGGGTCCGCACTAGCTTCAGGCTTTGCCAGTGGGCATGCCCTTCTTGTTATGATGCCCCCCTCCCCCAACATGTCGCATCCTGGTGCGGGTCGTACCTTCGCATCAAGCGCGGGTGAGCCGCGACGCAAAGGCGCAAATGTGGCGCCGATGGCACTCTTCCTTGCGCCTGTGCCAGCCGCCTTCACTCCCAACGCTTATCTCGCCAATGTTTCTCTGGGCGGCGCCGACGGCTGTCGAGCGAAGCATCTCTCTCTCTCTCTCTGTTTCTCTCTCTCTCTCTCTCCTCCGACGCTCCCTCCCCCGCTCCCTGCTCCCCTCCCTCCCGGCCCTCCCCTCCTGGCCCCGTCCTTTGTCCGAGGGGCGCCCCCGGAACGAGAGCCGAGAGCTGCTGCCGCGGGAGGGAGTCCGGGCGGCTCCCGCTGAGGGGCGGGTGGCGCCCCCAGCTGTCCCGGGGCGGTCCCGCTGGGCGGGCGCCCCGGATGCCCTCTCCCGCCAGTTTGGCGGGGTGCTGCTCGAGGGTGCCCGGCCCCAGCCCAGAGGCCTCCGGGCCCAGAGGCCCAGGATGCCTCGCCCCCTCCCGGGGAACGCCGATCTTCGTTCGTCCCGAGCCGCTCTCCGAACAGTGCCGGGGCCTCGCGGGGGCCCCCCCCTGTTAGGGGGCCGCATGCTTACCCCACCCCTCCCCCTCAGAAACCGTGGGGCAGGGGTAGTGTTCGCACGTGGCCCCCGACCCTTGGAGGCCGAAGACAGGCAAGCAGCAGGAGTTGGAAGGCAGGCCGAAGAGCGGCCCGTGCCGAGATGCCTCCCGCGGCGTAGAGGGGCCCCCGGGGTGCACCGTCGGCGGTCGCCGCGGAACGCGTTTTTTATTCATTGTCTTGCCGATCGGCGCGGGCCCTCGCCCCCCCCCCCCCCGCCCCCCCCCTTTGGAGTGGATCTTGGCTGTTTTTTGTCGCTTGTTTCGAGCAGGTGGAGCCTCCCCCATAATTGGCGCCCTGTTGCAAACAGTCGCATTGAACAGAGGCCCGGAGCCAGACCCCCCCCCCCTTCCACCCAATGTCGAAACTCCGAATCAACATGATCGACCCACGAACCCGGAAATGAATATAGTCATGTAAAGCATGGCAACGTTTCAAAGCCACCTGATTGGGCGACGGGCACATGCAATGCTGAATGTATCGACCTTGATGTACCGCCCCGAGGGCTGTGCTGTGCTGCGCCGTGCTGAATTGCGATGTGCCATGCCGCGAGTGTGCTCTGTATAGCGTTGTGGATCGAGTCCTCCTTTGCATCCGAGTCCTGACCGAACTGATCTGGATCTTAAGCTCGAGCTGCCTGAGCACATGGTAGCTGCCCCAAAACTACTCGACAGAGGGGACATGCCAGGAGGACGCGCCGCGGAACGTCCCAAGGGACGCGCCAGGCGACGTGCCAGGGGACGTGCCATGGGGACGCACCGCGGGACGTGCCAAGGGGACGCGCTACGGAACGTCCCGATGGACGTGCCACGGGACGTGCCAGGGGACGCGCCGCGCGACGTGCCAGGGGGAATCGCCACAGAACGCGCCAAGGAACGTGCCAGGCAACATGCCAGGCTGCAATGCTAAGGGTATCGATCTTGATGTACCATGCCGAGGGCTGTGCTGTGCCTGGGCAACCCGGACACGTGAAAACAAGCGTTTCGCTCAAGACGTTCTCAGCTCATCCTCATGCTAGACATCCGCCTGGGCAAACTGGACACGTGCAAACAAGCGTCTCGATCGAGACTTCCTCAACACATCCTCATGCTAGACATCTGCCTGGGCGACCTGGACGCGTGAAAACAAGAGTCTGGTTCGAGACATCCTCAACACATCCTCATGCTAGACATCTGCCTGGGCAACCTGGGCGCGTGAAACCAAGCGTCTCGCTCGAGACATCCTCAAGACCTGGGCACGTGAAAACAAGCATTTCACTTGAGATATCCTCTGAATTCGGGCCCCTAGGAGGGGACAACATGTAATACAAAACAGGCGCTTCGCTCGAGACATCCTCAACAAATTCTGAAACACAAGCGTTTCGCTCGAGACGTCCTCAAACATCATTTCGCCGGCCCTGCGCGACCTCGTTGTTCATCGCAAGTAAGTTCGCCGGCCGTGCAGCCGTCGATCCGGGGGGTTAAGCGGCTAAACGAGAACCCTGGGCAGGCGCCCTTGCCGGAAAATCAGACGCTCCCCAGGGCGACGCCGACGCGGTCTTCGACCTCATCGTGGCGGGCAGGCAGGCCGACGGCCAGGCGGCGGAGAGGGAGCGGCCCGGGGCCGACGCCCACGGCAGCCGGGACTGCATGTACCTGAGCGACCTCCGGCGCTACAAGGACGCCGGGTCAGAACATCACATCTGCGGCGGCGGTCAGAGGAGGGAAGGGTACACATTCTTCATTTCTCATTCTTCGAAGGTTCTTTGATTTTTTCGGGGGGCCAGGATCCTTTCATTGCTAGCTGTTCTATCCTGGGCCTCTTCCTGGCCACTAGGGATCGCCACGGCTGGATCCGCCCCATCGCCACGGCGGGACTGCATGTACCTGAGCGACCTCAGGCGCTACAAGGACGCCGGGGAAGAACATCTCATGGCGCCAACATCGCAGAGCGGATCTCGTTCGGAAAACGATGGGATGGGCCCGGAGTGTCCTCGAGAATGTCGTTCCAGATTTCGAGGTGAACTTCGTGCGGGTTTTCGTGGGCCAGGGATGGAGACTAAAAACAAATCCACGCGAAATTCACTTCGTTTTTCACTCGCCGTTTCTGGGTTTTGCATTAGCAGAAATCCACGCCAAGAATCCGCTGCAGCACGTCTGCGTCGGTGCAATGAAACACCTGCGACGGCTGTCAGAGGAGGGAAGGACACACCCATACCGCCACGCATCCCCCGTCGCAACGGCTGGATCCGCCTCGACATTCTGGTCAGAGAGTGCCCGCGGAGGGGTCAGTGCTGGCGCAGGATGGAGAACAATGAATGCCTGGTGGGCCCGTCACGCAGCAGCGCCCAGGGCGATGACTGATAATGTGGGTTCTAGACCTGCTCGTCTGCGTCGTCGTAGTTGCTGTCGAGATTCCGTGATCGTCCTCTCCAGCGTGCTTCCGAGCGGCAGGAAACTATTTTCTTCATCGCTCCGACCCAAACAGTGCGTGCACTGACGGGTTCTTACTTCTCTCCCAATTGGTTGAGTCCAGCGACGATTTTCCACGTTGCGGCCAGTTGCCGCCTCGTTGCCGCCTCGTTGCCTCCTCGTGCGCTGGGTGGGTCTGGCTTTCGCCATGTTGCCTCCCATAGCCGCCTCGTTGGCGCCTGCACCACGTATGCTGCACCACGTAGCTTGCACCTCATAGCCTGCACCACATACATAGCTGGCACATCCGCAGTGCAATCTAAGTTGGAGGGGGGAAGGAGAAGGAGGAGGAGGAGGAGGAGGAGGAGGAGGAGGAGGAGGAGGAGGAGGGAGGAGGAGGAGGAGGAGGAGGAGGAGGAGGTCGAAGAGTAGTGGTAGTAAGTGGTAGAGGAGGAGGGAGGAGGAGAGGAGGAGGAGGAGGAGGAGGAGGGAGGAGGAGGAGAAGGGGGAGGAGGAGGAGGAGGAGGAGGGAGGAGGAGGAGGAGGAGGAGTGAGGAGGAGGAGGAGGAGGAGGAGGAGGAGGAGGAGGAGGAGTGGGAGAGGAGGAGGAGGAGGAGGAGGAGGAAGGAGGAGAGGAGGAGGAGGAGGAGGAGGGGGGGGAGGAGAGAGGAGGAGGAGGAGGAGCGAGGAGGAGGAAGCAGGAGCAGGAGCAGGAGGAGGAAGGAGGAGGAGGAGGGAGGAGGAGGGAGGCAGAGGCAGGAGGAGGAGGAGGAGGAGGAGGAGGAGGAGGAGGAGGAGGAGGAGGAGGGAGGAGGAGGAGGAGGAGGAGGCGGAGGAGGAGGAGGATGAGGAGGACCCCTCCCCCTCCAACTTGTGGTGGTGGTGTGGTGGTGGTGGTGGTGGTGGTGGTGGTGGTGGAAAGCGGGCCCATCACAGCAACTTCCGGTTTTGGGCCCGCGCTGGCCAACGTGCTCGTGCCGCCTTCCTGTGCCTCGGCAGGACAGGCAGGCCCCCCGCGCGATGGAGCTGATCACCGGCGGAGGCCAGGCCGCGGGCCGTCCCGCCCGTCCCCTCTCGGGGTGGGGTGGGCGGGCGCCTCTAAGCAGGAGGAGGAGGGGAGGAGGAGGAGGAGGAGGAGGAGGAGGAGGAGGAGGAGGAGAGGAGGAGGAGGAGGGAGGAGGAGGAGGAGAGGAGGGCGAGGGGGAGAGAGGGAGGAGGAGGAGGAGGAGGAGGATGAGGAGGAGGAGGAGGAGGAGGAGGAGGAGGATGAGGAGGAGGAGGAGGAGGAGGAGGAGGAGGGCGAGGGGAGGGGGGTGAGGGGGGAGGGAGGAGGAGGAAGGAGGAGGAGCAGGAGCAGGAGGAGGAGGCAGGAGCAGGAGCGGAGGAGGCAGGAGGAGGAGGAGGAGGAGGGGAGAGGAGGAGGAGGAGGAGGAGGGAGGAGGAAAGGAGGAGGAGGAGGAGGAGGAGGAGGAGGAGGAGGAGGAGGAGGAAGGAGGAGGCAGGAGGAGGAGGAGGAGGAGGAGGGAGGAGGAGGAGGAGGAGGAGGAGGAGGAGGAGTCTCGGGCGTGTTCTCTCTGCTTGCCTGGGCAGACCGAGGCCTCCTCGCGCTGTGGACACGCAGCAGTGGGAGATGCCTGGTAGTTTTTGTCGGCCCCCAGGGGCCCTTGTCGGGCTACCGCACGGTCAAAAGTGGAAGTGTTCCTCCGGTAGGGCCACGCACGATACGTGATCTTTTCAGCTTATTTTTTTAGCTTGCCTGGGGATCTCCTCCTGCCTGCCTCCTCCTACCTCCTGCTGCCTCCTCCTCCTCCTCCTCCTCCTCCTCCTGCGTGTTCCCCTCCTGCCGTCTCCTCTTGCCTCCTCCTTCTCCTCCTGCCTTCTCCTCTCCTCCTCCTCCTCCTCCTCCTCCTCCTCCTCCTCCTCCTCCTCCTCCCCATGCCCCCTTCTCCCCATGCCTCCTCCTCCTCCTCCTCCTCCTCCTCCTCCTCCTCCTCCTCCCCATGTCTCCTCCTCCCCATGCCTCCTCCTTCTCCTCCTCCTCCGCCTCCTCCTCCTCCTCCCTCTCCCCATGCCTCCTCCTCCCCATGCCTTCTCCTCCTCCTCCTCCTCCTGCCTCCTGCCTCATTCTTCTCCTGCCGCAGCGCGTTTCCGCGCGTTCCTGGCCCGCGCCCGCGACGCGTGCGGCGCGCAAGGCGCGCGCGCGCCGACCGCCGCGGCCGCGGGCCCCCCCCCCGGTACCACCGGGGGGCGGACGTTTCCGTCTGAGAGGGAGGGAGGATCCCTAAGGGCTTGTCGACTTTTCGCCAATCGACTTGTGGGGATCGAGCCAGATAAATCCAGGTAGATGCAGATCAATCGAGGTAAATCCAGGTAAATCCAGGCAGATCGAGATAAATCCAGGTAGATCCAGGTAAATCCATGGATCTCCAGGGAAAGTTGAAGCAACTCGCGGCCGCTCCAGCGCGAGTCGAAGGACGGCAGAAGTCGTTGAGCCTTTAACGGGAGGAGAGGAGAGATGGGCGGCCCTACCATCCTTCACCACCTAAGGCTGTACAAAGGCAGGTGTATGTGGCGATGCCAATGTAGTGTCCTTGCCCGGAAGGTCAGTAGGGGAGGTGCTACGGCTAGATCTCGCTTCGCTGGCGCTTGACGTAGCTGTCCAGGTCTGCTTCAGGGTGCCTCTTGGTACCCGTCGACGGAGTCGGGAGTCCGTGGTTCGTCAAGTTCTCGCAATCGATATCGTTCCCGTTGGGCCCGATGATCTCGATGTAGACCTGTGATGGTGGGCTGGTAGTGGAGCTTCTGGGTATCGGGTAGCTCCTGGGTGCTGTGATTCATGTAGTACATCTTGACGAAGCGGATGTTGACCTGGTCGTAGTCGGAATCGTTGATGTTGTATAGCTTGTGTGCTACGTCTTTCTTGAGGTCGAGGGTTGTCGGTGTAGTAGTTATTGCAAGCGTGACGAACGCCTTCTCTTCGGGGTTGAACATGAGGTAAGTTGGGAAGCGTACTGCCGATGGCCATGGTGTAGTTTTGGCGATGATGTACGCTGCGGTAGGCAGCCAGTAGTTCTGTCCTCATGGAGGAGGTGGTACTCGGAGGTGGTGGGGTCCTTCAGGTCTGTTGTCCGGCTGCACGCTGTACGTGGCCTCGCCGCATTTGCCTTCGTACACCTCGATGGCAGTACTTCATGTAGTGGCTTAGGGCGTATTTGACGTCCGCGACTCAGTATCTCTCCATGTTGTGGTTCTGACGTAGATGACCAAGGTTGTAGCAGCATGCAGGTTTGAGCCAGTGGCTGCATACCGTACAGATGCGTCACGAGGTGGGCATGTATACTTCCCCCCTCCTCCTCCTCCTCCTCCTCCTCCTCCTCCTCCTTCTTCGAGCCTCGAGCTGGTGGCATTGGATCCGTACTGGCGCTGCCAGCCCTCCTCCTTCTCCTTCTCCTCTTCCTGCGTCCTCCTCCACCTCCTCATTTTGCCTCCTCCTCCTCCTCCTCCTCCTCCTACTACTCCTCCTCCTCCTCCTCCTCCAGCCTCCTGCCTTCTCCTTGGGCATTCTGCCTCCTGCTTGGGCCTCCTGGGGCCTCCTGGAGACTTGGGCCTCCTGAGGCATTCTGGGGCCTCCTCCTCCTGCCTCCCTGCGGGGGGGGCTCCCGGAGACTTCTGGGGCCTCCCAGGACCTCCTGGGGTACTCCTCCTCCTCCTCCTCCTCCTGCTCCTTCCCCTTCTCCTCCTTCTCCTGTGCTCCTCCTGGGAATCCGGCCGTTGCGACGAGGGCCTTTCCAGGGAGGCCTGAAAACGAGGGAGGGGCACCGGTATCGCTCTGTGTTCTTTCTCCCGGGCGGGTGGCAGTTGGGGGGATGCCTGAATGGGGGGTGCAGAACAGGGCCCTGAACGGTCCGCCTTCTCTTCACTCCCCATTTATGCCACCCCCCATAAAAGCTGGAACGTCAACTGAAGCGAACCGCAAAACTCAAATTCCGGCACCAAATGCACCGAGGAGGGAGCGGCAGAGTTTCAGCGACGTCCGAGGCGAGGAGAGGCAGGCTGGCCAGAGGATCCATCATCTGAGCGGGGTTTGCGTCTCGCTGGAAAAAACAAATGATGTCACCCCCCATGACGACCCGCCCGATTCTCCTCTCATGTTCGGCGCTGCTTCGACTCGGCCGGCGAGGCGGTGCCATCGAGCTCTTCGTCGGCGCGCTGCAGAGGCGCCGGGGCACGCTGCTCCGCGGCTGGAGGACGCCCGCGCGGCGTGCCCGAGGCGGGGGCGCGGGCCCGCCTCCTATAGGCACAGCGAGTCGAGAGATCGGGCGGCCATGCCTCGGTCATCGGGGGCGAAGGCGACGACGACGACGCCGACGACGTCACGGCGACGACGGCGCTGGCGGCGGCGACGGCGGCGACGCTGGCCAAGTCGGGGCGGGATATCATGGCTGGGGCCATGACGTGTCGCCGCGCCGCTTGTTCCGACGCGGGGCCTTGCGTCTTGTGGAGGGCGCCTCGGCCACCAGGGCAAACTCTGCCTCGGATACAGAGTTTGCCGTGGGTCTGCCGTGGAATTGCCGTGGTGTCGGCGTCGTCCACTTGCGCGCGTCGAGAACAAGCGGCGCGGCGACGTCTCTAGTCGGATGTCATGGCCCCTCTTCTCGTTTCAATGCGCCAGCCGGCCGCCCCTGGGCCGCGAACGTACCTCGGGCCATGTTTGGTGAAGCCCCCTCTTGGACGTCCTCAGACTTGGACGCCTCCGACGTCTCTCGGACCTGATTCCAGCCAGTCAGGCCAGAGCCGAAACATGTGTGTGCGAGTTCTGCTTGGGGGCGCGCTGGGGCCGATGCCTCAGTCTGGAAGAGCGCGCGTCCCTTCGGATACCTTCGCGCCAGAGGAGGAAGCATGCACATCGTCCGCCGCTTCGGCGCGCGCTTCTGCGCCTGCAGGTACGCGCCGAGGCGTGCACCAAGCCGGTCTGGATCACGGCCGGCGTCGTCCAAACGACCCTCCGGCCCAGGCCGCAAACCAGAGGGCCGCTGCTGGGCCCCGGGGCCGCCAGCAACGAGACGGCCCGCGCCGGGAGGCCAGTGTCGCGGGATGGGGTCGAGAGTTCAAGGGGGGGCGTCCACGCCGGGAGGACTGGGAGTCGGGACTTTCAGGGCCTTCTCCCTCGCCATCCCGTGCCCCCCCTCTCATTGTCCCCCCCCCCCCGCTTCCTCTCCCCGTCCCCGCCCTCTCGCCCTCCGATTCGCCTTCCCCTTCTTCTCCACTCCTTCTCCCTGTGCCAGCTCAGATGGTGTGGTGTAGAAGCGGGGATCTGCGTCCACAGGGGAACTCCCAGAGGCCAGATTCTTGAAAGGACATCTTCTGCAATAGCCTTAAGTCGGGCGTGTCCCTCTACAGGGGGAATATTCAAAAATAGTCGAAAAATAGTATGGGGACGATTTCTCTCTCTCTCTCTCTCTCTCTCTCTCTTTCTATATATATATATATGTGTGAGAATTTAGGGGCATTTTTTGGCTACCTTTTTTTCCGTCCAAAATCCCCCTGTAGGGGGACAGGCCCGACCTAACAGTGGCCGCTTCCCGCAGAGCCGCCCAGGATGGACCTGGACAAGAGCGGCCTGGGGAAGGCAGGCTGCGCGAGGGCGGGCAGGGCTCCCGCGTTGGTGGCGACTGGGGAGGCTCGGCGAGCACTTGGGCGTTGAAGCATCATACAGTCAACCAGTATAGTAAGGATGGGCAACCTTCCCAAAGGTACCCGTGCATCCTTGCCTCCTCGGTCCATCCTTCGCCGCTTTCGCTGGCCGCGCCCCGCTCGAAAAGCTTCGAATTGGGCGTCCAAGGCCCTTGCATCCTTAGCGCGCATCCTTACTATACTGGCTGACTGTATGTACCATAGCCCTGCCGGCGTGGGTAAGAACGAGGGGGCGGGGGTGTCGTCGGCAGTCTGCCATGCGAGGCAAATTTGAAGAAGCCCGCCGCAGGCTTCGATTGGTCCCACATTACACCACGAGGCCGCCGCATGCTTTTTTGTTTTTCTTTCACCAGAGCAACATGGGCGGGTTGCAGGTTGGCCGCGGGCGGGTCGCGGGTGGGTCGCGGGCGAGTCGCAGGCGAGGACGACGACAACACAACAACAATGATCTTCACCGCGTAAGTCCATTTCAAGGGAGCCGTTCCCAGGCCAGATCTTCCAGCGGGCGTCTATGTTTGCTTCCACGCCGGGCTGGTTCTACTTTCTAACAGTGGTCTTGTCATGAAGGTGCCTCGTCCGGCTGGATGTGCGGTGCTTGTAGTACGGTTTTGGGGGCTGGTCAGCATGTATCCGCTTCCGGCGGATTGCACGCCAAACATGTGCCCAGATGTGCATCCGTACGTACGTAAGCCTTGCGCCGGGCGGCGCGCGATAAGGGTTAAACATTAGACAATTCTTCACGCTTCGCGTGTTCTCACCCGCCCATCTAGGAACGATGCCTAGGGGTGCTGCCCTGGTGGCCTCAAAGATCGTTTTGGGGGCATCTTGGGGGCCCTCTTGGGAGCCTTGGGGATTTTTTTTGGGCATCGATTCATGAACAGGGGGTCACCAATTCAGTTTGCCCCTCTGGATCCCCAGAAGTCGCCTCTTGGCGCACTTCTGGGCGCTCTTGGGCCGTCTTTGGGCCTTCTTGAGCCCCTCTTGGGCCCCTCTTCGGCCATCTTGGATCATCTTGGGGTCATCTTGGAGCCATCTTGGGACAACACATTGATTTTCCCAAGGTTTCGAAAGGATTTGGGACTCGTGGGGGCGTCCCGCAGAAGTTCCGAAGCCATTCGGACCCGTTTTGGAATGGTTTTGTGACCTCTTGGAGTAAATTGGAAGCAATCTTGGGCGACCTCGCGCTATCTTGGAGACCATCCTGGGCTATCTGGGACCTTCTTGGAGCCATCTTGGGCTAGCCAGGGGCCTCTGACCAGTCCCCCCACGTCCAGACCCGTCCAGACCCAGGGGTAGGGGGTGTGTTGGGGGTTCAAGAAACTTCTCCCAAACGCAAACTGTTTGGCATATTCTCACCCGCCCTCCCAAACCATAAGTAGTACCCGGGTCTCAGCATATTCAGCGGTCGTCTTTGGATGGGCAGCTACTGGGAACCAGTGCAGACCTCAGGTGCGCGACGCTGGGGCGAGGTGCGCCAAGCGTTCCAGGCGCGCGCGCACCAGGCGCGCCAGGAGTCTCTGGGGATGCCAGTCACGCCTGGTGTGCCAGATGCGCCACGTGCGCCAAGTGTGCCGCATGATCCAGGCGCGCCAGGCGCGCCACATTCGGGGCACTGGCAAAGTGTGCCAGGTGCGACAGCGCACATCGGGGAACATGTCGGCCCGCATCATCCTTGTCACAAACCTATGCGCAGTCGCGGCGGGGTGGCCATCATGGTGTCTGGTGGGTGTGCACACAGCAGGCGGTTGTGCAAGCTCCCGCCGTCCCTGTCAAAAACCAAGGCTGAGTGATCGCGAGGTGCCCGCGCATGATCCAGATTTAGCTGCCAACTGCAGTTTGTGTTGTTTTGACACGGATGGTGGCCTTGCGTGCAGCCTGCAATATGCGGGCACGCCCGCAGGCGCCCCTGTCAAAAGATCGTTAGCCAGCGTGGACCCCAGACAGCGATGTCTTGCAATCCATGCGGTGCAGTTTGGTCGGTGCAATCAATGTGGTGTAATCTAGGTGGTGCAACCCATGTCGCACAATCTATGTCGTACAAAGCAAATGGAACGCAATGCGCAGCAATGCAAAGCAATGTAAGGCGATTCAAGACAATGCACATAAAGTCAAGGCAATGAAAGGCAACGCAATGCAATGCAACGCACTGCAACTTAATGCCAAGCAATTTCAAGCAATGCAACGCACGGCAAAGCAATGCAACGCACGGCAAAGCAGCGCAACGCAACGCAACGCAACGCGAAGCCATGCAAAGCAATGGCATGTGATGCAGAACATGTCAAAGTAATGGAATGCGATGCCAAACAATGCGACAAATGCCAAGCAATGCCAAGCACATGCGAAGCAATGCGAAGCACTGCCAAGCGCTCCCAAACAATGCCAAGCACTGCAACGCACGGCAAAGCTATGCAACGCAATGCGACGCAATGTATCGCACTGCAAAGCAATGCAAAGCAATGCAAAGCAACGCAAAGCAATGTCAAGCAATGCAACATAATGCACGTCAATGCCAAGTAGTGTAAAGGAATGCACAACAATGCCAAGCAATGCAACGCAACGCAATGCAACAATGCTAGGCTATGCTTTGCTTTGCTATGCCTTGCTATGCTGTGCGAGTGGACGAGCGCGACCGGGCGAGTGCACGTGGTGGCGACGGACGGCGGCGACGGGCGGTGACGAGCTGGCCGGACCGGCACCGGGGCGGCGATTGACGGCGGCGACGGGCGGCGACGGGCGGCGACGAGCTGGCTGGACCGGCACTCAGGCTCAGTCAGCGGCGGCGACGGGCGGCGACGGGCGGTGCAGCTGGCCAGACCGGCCTTCAGGCCCAGTTACCTTAGAAGCAAACTAAATGCCCTTCGGTGCAGGCGCTGTTCTTGGAAGGTGGTGCTAGAGGGGCCCCCAGATGCCGCAAAGTGCACTTTTGTATTGTTTTCGCAGGGATCGTGGGGTGGGGTGGGGTGTTGGCATGGGGCCTTGTCGGTCGCTGGTCGAATTGGGGAAGGGGTGTGCGTTAATAAGGAGCAGTGGTCAAGCTTCCCCCCCAAAGGACGGCCGTCTCGCTCACTCCCACCCGTCCTCCCACTAGATCCACTGGATATGTAGCGCTCGAGTCTGAGCAAGGGCAGGGCCGCCATCGACCACCATCGGGAACCAATGCAGACGCCAGCAAGGTTCGCGACGCCCGCGAGTTTCGCCGCGCGTGCCAGGGCACCCCCAGTATCCTATCCAGTAACCATGCAGAGTCATCGCGGGGCGCCCTCGCATGATCGTTGTCGGGAAGTGTACGTCTGATTGCAATGGCCTGCATGCAATGCCGCCAATCCGGGGGCGGCTGGCTGTTTGCGTGGTAAAGGAATGTGCAGGCGGCAACGGGCTCCTGCTTTCTCGCCCTTCTTTCTTTACACCCCCCCTTGTCTCCCTCTTTTTTCCCCCACCCCTCCCCTCTCCCCTTGTCTCCCTCTCCTCTTGTCTCCCCCTCCTTGCTTTTTTCAGCCCCCCTTGTCTCCCTCTTTCTTCCCCCACCCCTCCCCTCTCCCCTCCCGTGGACGGCGCACGCTGCCTCTTCCTTCTCCGCTCGACACGGCCCTTCCCGACCCCCCCTGCTCGAACACGGCACGTGCCTCCTCCTGGGAGTGCTCAGTGGAGCCCTCTTGGGACGTCATGGGGCGCTTCTGCGGCCGACCGGAGGCTATCTTGGGGCGTCTGGGCCCGATTGTTCGGCGGTTGTGCAGGGCCTGAACAAGGGGGCGGAGGAGGAGGAGGAGGAGGAGGAGGAGGAGGAAGAGGAGGAGGAGGAGGAGGAGGAGGAGGAGGAGGAGGAAGAGGAGGAGGAGGAGGAGGAGGAGGAGGAGCAGGAGGAGGAAGAGGAGGAGGAGGAGTTGTACATTTTGGCGTGTCCGAGGCCACCCAGTGAGAGCAGAACAACGCAGAGCAAAGCGGAGCACAGGCGCAGCAGGGGGGTCCCCACTTTCCCGGCAGAGCCACCCCGGCCCCCCCCCGGTCAGAGCTGAAGCGCAAGCTTTAGGCTGTAGCGTAGGGTTATTGAACCTCACACGCTGGATCGGCTTACTTTTTTGTTAAGGGATGATGGGCCTGCGCGCAGGAGACAATATGCTGGCACCCCTTCTTGTCCCTGGAAAAACTGGCAACGTGATCGCTCGGTGCCCGCGCATGTTCCAGATCTTGCAGCAATGTGCGCCTTGCATTGTTTTTGCTGACAGATTAGGGGGGTGTTGTCATGGTTCCGGGATCGCCCCTGGTCAGCTTGGGGAGGGGGTGTATATCAATATGGAACATTGCTAAGCCAATCCACGAAGGGGAAGAAGGGGATTGGAGGAAGAAAGCCCCTACGCGACCTACGCCCCAAAGAGCTTTTGGGACTAGGGCCAGACAGCATCACTATTTACATCAGGCACGCGAAATGCGAAACAGGTACATACGAATCGCGACGTGGCCACGCTCACCGTGCTCGCCATGCTGCAGCGTCTCAGCGGAATAGGAGGATGATGGCGGTGGTGATGCTGCTGATGATGACACCGCGATTGTGTTTGTGGTATTGTTGATGCTGATGTTGTTGATGACGACGACGACGATGCTGATGACTCGACGACGTCGAGGATGACAATAATAAGGAAGGTGGGATGGGGGGGGAGGGGAAGGTGAGGGATGTGTTCGAAGGTAGCGTTCGGGAGCTTCGCGGCTGCCTGCCGGAAGTATGACCTCGGGGAGCACTGCAAGGCCCCTTTCCTTTCTTGATGCGCTGGGCTTGACGTCCGCGAGCCGCGGTCTCCCTCCCCCCGTCGCTGGCCCTCCCCGCTCCGACGACTTGCTGCTCAACCTGACAACCCTTCTCGTTTCTCCCCTGACATGCGTCTGCGTGTTCCCGCCTCTCTCGCGTATGTATGGCCTCTGTCGCACAACTTGGCAGGACGTCGTCGGAGTTTCCGCCGCAGTGCTGGCCGCATCTCAGAATCGGTGCTGTGCGCCCGTGCTTCGCAAACGGCACTCTCGCCACGGCGCGGGCCACATTGCTGAGTCCGATTCGCTCTCCGCCGTCGCTGCCGCCCCCCTCACCTTTCCCTCCCTGGCCTTCCCCTGGTCCTCCTGCTCCTCCCACTCCTCCTCCTGCTTGTGGTGCTGCTCCTCCTCATCCTTCCTCGTCGTCCTGCTCTCCCTCGGACACATGGGAACTAGGTTACACCAGCACCCCGTGCGCACGTGCAGACAGAAGATAGGGGCAGATGGGACAGGTGGGGGACCAGCGGTGCAAATCATGTGCTGCACGCGCACCAGGCGTGCTGAAGGTGTGCTCTCTGCTCTTCCCCCTCCCTGATCCTTAACTCTGCCACCAGGCCCCTAATCGCGCCATCAGGGCAGGAATCGGCCAGCACAGAACATATGCAAGGGAGCTACTTCGAACACGCATGCAGTCCATACGGCAAGGTCGTGGGTCATTGGCTGAGCATGCCGAGACTAATTCAATATTCAGCAACTATCCACAGCATGACACGCAGGTCTGGGGACAACTAGCGAGCTTCAAGCTGTGGCGTGCACGCACGCTGCTATCATGTCTCGAATCTAGATCCCAGCCCCTCCAAGGAAACGGATGGGAGGAAGGGACACCCTGAACAGCAACCTTGAGGATGAATGACGCATGGATGGGTTTGCTGATGGTCTCTGGGGACCATCCAAGTCATACAACACCATTCGCTGTTGAGGGAACCCCTTAAGACCGACCTGCACCCAACTGGTGTTACGTGCATCTGAGCTGACACACAGCTCGGATGCCTTGAATTGTACAGTGAGCTAGCTCGATCCTGTGGCGTCGTCTTGGGCTGTTTGCCGAAGCAGCTTCTGGTAAACGCTCGTTCCACGCATGCTTGGCGTGCCGAAGGTATTCGCTCTCATCCTCCTTTTTCTCCTCCTCCTTCTTTTCCTCCTCCTCCTCCTCCTCCTCCTCCTTGTCCTCCTCCCTCCTATCCCCAACCCCCCGCAGCCCTCGAACAAGAGCCCTTGGTGAGGCCAGGGCCGAGGAGGAGGAGGAGGAGGAGGAGGAGGAGGAGGAGGAGGAGGAGGGACGGAGCATCACATGTGCAATGCCAGCTGGGAGGGAGCGGGGTCCTCCGACCCCTCCTTTTTTGAATACACGGAACACACACATACACGCACACGCGCGCGCACAGACTTGTTTGTCGGTCGTTGCGGCCAGGCGCGCCGACGTGGCGCCGATGCGAGGTTGCCGGCGCGCCCGCGCCGGAAGAGAGGCCGGGAAGAAGGTGGGCCCCTCGCGGGGCAGCCGCGGGCAGCGGGCCGCGGGGGAGGCGGCGGCCCGCGGGGAGGCGCCCGGGCGCGGGCGAGGCGGCGGGGGCAGGCGCCGGGCGAGTCGCCAGCCGGCGGCGGGGCAGGCAGGCAGCGAGGCCGCGCCAAAGCTGCGCGGGCCCTGGGCGGCGGAGGCCGGGCCCAGGAAGCGCAGCGGGCGAGGGGCGGGGCGGAGGGCCGCGCCGGAGTGCGGCGGGCGGCGGGCGGCGGGCAGAGCCCAGGCGGGGCGGGCGAGGGGGGGGGGGGGCGCCAGCCGACGGTCGGCGGCAGAGGGGGCGGAGGGCGAGGGCGCGGGCGAAGGCGTGCGGGCGGCAGGCCGAGCCCGGCCAGAGGGCCAGCAGATGGGGCCGGGAGAGCCGAGAGGGCGGAGCGCAGGGCGGAGGGCGGAGGGCGCGGCGAGGCAGCGAGGGCGAAGGAGCCCAGGCAGAGAACGGCCAGACCCCGCGGGCAGGGAGCCGGCGGGCCAGGAGCCTGGAGGCGGGAGGGGCGCACCAGTGGGGCCAGGCTGCCATGCAGTGCCACGGGGAGCTGACGCCCCGACGGAGGCGCGGCCAAGCAGGCAGGCCGAGGTCGCAGCGCAAGTCAGCCCGACGCGCCCCGAGGGCCCGCCCGGGGGTCGGAGCTGAGAAGGCGACGAGGGAGAACGAGGAGCCAAGCCCGCCCAGATGGAGGCCGGCCGCGCGGCTGGGCCACGGAGCCACGGGGTGTGGCGAGCAGCCTGCGAGGGGAGTGGAGCGACTACGCGTCCAGAAGCGAGAGCACCGCCCAGGAGAAGCACCCAGGCGGCGCGGCCGGGCGATCGCCAGGGAGGGTCCACCCAGGGAAACAGCGAGGCAAGGGGCGGTGCAGCGCGGGCGGCCGCTGGGAGCGAGCCCGAGTGGCGAGCCACAATGGAAAGAGACGGGTCTGTGCCGAGCCGTAGACCGGCGATCGCAGCCGAGGGTCCTCCCAGGGGATCGCGCCGACCAGGGCGAGATGGACGGACGGAGCGGACCCGCGCCCGGAGGCCGGCGGGGCGGACGCGGTCCTGATCGAAAGACGGGCACCGCCAGGGTGAGGCAGCGTGCCGCGAGAGAGACGCCAGGCGCGAGGGAGAGGGCGGCCGGTGCCAGCAGCGAAGGCCGCGAAGCAGTGACCAGCGCGAGCAGCGAGCATATCCGCGCTTGGGGGAGCGTGGAGACTGGAGGGGGGCGGGGGGGCGAGGCGGGAGCAAGAGGAAGAAGCGCGGCGGTGACGCGGGTGAGGCCGGGGCTGGCGGTCGCCACCGAGGGTCCACCCAAGGGATCCAGTTATGCAGTGCGCGAAATGAGAGGCCGCGCGGGGCGGTAGGCAGGGGCAGCGGAGGCCCCCGGCCAGCGACCAGCCCCAGGGGCGGGCAGACCCACGCCCGAGGCGGCTAGGAAATGGTGGGTCACCGGGCGCGTTCCACTACCCGCAAAGTGCCTACTCGCAAACGCCCGAGAAACACATGTGACCCTCGAAGTCATTTATCGTAGATCCCCCGCGGCGGATCCAGGCAATTTGCGAGTGGCTACTTTGCGAGTAGTAGAACGCGCTCGTCTAATGTAATGGATCGTCGATCCGCCGCGGCGGATCCAGGCCATTCGCGAGTAGTTCCTTTGCGAGTAGTGGAGCGCGCTCGTCTAGTGGGGTGAAGCGAGTGAGCGCGGGGAGGCACCTCACTCAGAGGGCGAGACGGACGGCGAGGAGCGGCGCCATTCGTCATACGTCGCACGGAGGGCGTCCTGCATCTCCCGGGCTGTCGGGGCTGCGGGGGCGGGTCTGTACGGCCCCGTTGCGGAGGTGCTCCTCGTCGTCCGTGCCCTCGCCGTCGTCAGGACCCAATGGGTCCTCAGTGGTGTGGAACCAGTTGATCCCGTCGGGGCTCTACCATCCTTCGCGGCTGTTGGGTGGCGGGCCTTCGGCACTTCCGAACCGCAGGGTGGAGCATGGAGCGCATCGGGTCGTCGCTGCTGGCGGAGGCGGCGCGCTGCGGGGGCGCGCGGATGTGGGCAGCAGCGTCGGTCCACCCCGTCCGGGGGGCTGGCGGGCTCCCGCACCCAGGGCGGCGGGGGTTAGTCCCGCCGAGTTGCAGGGGCGGCTCGACCCCTGGCGCGGTCGACTCCTCGCGGGCGCGGCCGGAGTCGGCCGAGCCGGGTTGGCCGGCGCCGTGCGCGCTCCCGGGGGTCGGCAGGCCACCCCGCCCAGCGCGGGTTGCGCCCGTCGCGCTGCAGGGGGCGGGCGGACCCGTGCTGCAGCCCCGATGCTCTCGCAGCACGGCTCGAGTAAGCCAGCGTCGCATGCGGCCTCCCAAAGGGGCAAGGAGCACCACCTGCTGGACCCTTGTCGGGTGCGTGCCGCAGCCGCCGCAGGCTTCCCACCGCTCGTCGCCCCCGGGGGGTGGGCCGCAGATAGCAGCGGCAGCGAAGGTGCGCAAAGGGGCGGAGTACCGGGGGAAGGCGGTCCGCTCCTGACTCCCCTCTGCAGACGGGGCCGCAAGTTGATGGCTTGGCGTGGGAGAGCGCGGGGCTGGCGTCAGAGGGTGGATAAGCCCGTCGATGATTGCGGCATCGGGGCAGGGTTGCTCGCACTGAGGCAGTCGCCGAGCCGATATGGCGGCTGGTGCTCTGGAACGGACCACTTGGCGCAGCATTCTGGACACTTGCGGATGAAGCGCAGCCTGTGGCCAGTGCCAGGGTGCTCGCCTCGGTGAGCGCGGGGGCCAGCGGAGGAGCGGCGGAAGGAGGGACTGAAGGCCGTCGGCGCGGAGCCGCAGCCCGCGTGACGGCTGTAGGTGCGGACCGTGTCGTACCGGTCCTCGACAGGCAGTGCTGAGCCTGGGGGGCAGTGTATCTTTGTCCCGCTCGTGATTGCGGCCTCGAACTCGTACCTACACACCTACACACCTACACACCTACACACATACACACATACACACATACACACATACACACATCCACACATCCACACATACACACATACACACATACACACATACACACGTACACACATACACACGTACACATACACACATACACATGCACACATACACACATACACACGTACACACATACACACGTGCACATACATACATACACATACACACATACACATACACAGACACAGACACATACACACATACACACATATACACGTACACACGAACACACATACACACAAACACACATGCACACATGCGCACACACACACACACACCTACACATACACACATACACACATACACACACGTACACATACACATACACGCACACACTCACACGCACGAGGGGTCCTGAGGGGGCTCCGTCGGCTCCGTGAGCACTTAGTGACGTCTTGTGACCCTCGTCGGGACTTTTGGAGGTATGCTGGAAGCTATCTTGAACCATCTTCGGCTATCGTGAGCCGCCTTGGGGTCCATCTTGGAGCATCGGGGGCGCTCTTCGGGCCATCTTGGGCGAAAGAGGACCCTGTGACACATCACGCCCTCGCCCACGGAAAAAAGAGACCCTCAGGGAGGGGAAGGGGAGGGTACCCCTCTCCGGAGGGAGGGGTTTTAGGAAGAGAAAGGCAGTCACTCGTCAGACCATCTTCGCCCAAAGGGCTTTCTGGGGTTTCAAGACGGGCATGCCTGCCCTCGGCTATCCAGGCACTATGGCTACATGGCATTTTTGCTGTTTTTTTATCTGCTCGTCCTCATGCTCATCATCCTGCTCATCCGCCACCTTTTCCTCCTCGTCCCATGTACGACGGCCCTTCTTTTGAGTGCTCATCGCACTGTGTGGCCACGATTGGGATCAATGTCCTCATGCGACACCCCAGTCGGCGGATAGAAGATCATTCATTGCGATGGGAAGGGATGGATATCAGACGTGAGATGTGGCGCAAGCGCGTCTAGCGTGCCGTTCTCCCATCTACGCTCCCCGCGCTTCGCTCTGCGCTCTCTCTCTCTCTCTCTCTCTCTTCTCCAACTCTTTCTTTCCTCTCCCCCATCTTCCTTTTGCCGTCCCCTGCTTTATTTCTTGCTCGCGAGTTTCCCCAAACAGGTCCCTCGGCACAACCGTGTCGCGGTTTTGCTAGGACCCCGCTGGGTCGGATACGCATTCCGCCTCGCCGCGCAACTCGCTGCATGACTCCCGCTTATTCTCCTAAGCACGCCGACGTGGCGATGAGCCTCGCTGGCGGTAGGGCTCTGCGCTTGGTCCCTCCCGCGAGCGCCGACCAGCCAGAACGACAACAGACAGACGCCCATAATGGTTAGCTTGCGATTGCTGCCCGTTGGAAAGTAAACCACGTGATCAATGACGAGCAAATGTGCGCATCCGACATGCGTAAATCCACAGACGATTGGCAGTCCTGTTTTCCGCACGCGCTGTGACAGCAGTGTCGTGCACGGTCCCTGTGCCAGACGTAATTGAGCAAAGGGCGGCTGGTGGGTGGCTGCGTCAGATGTAGCCGCACCGCAGGTAGCTGTCACTCGAAACTACCCATGGTGGCGGGTAAACGCATGGTCGTCAGTATATTTTGTCGCCAACATCCGTACCACATGTGTGGAATTCCCTGTCGTCCCTATCCTCATTCCCCTTTATCATGCCTTCCTAGTTCATCACGTTCATGCTCATGCGCATGATTATGAGCTGCTCATCGCGGCGTCACATGCACAGCCCACGCCCCTAAAGTGACTGGGCGTGCTCACCGGGCTAGTGACTGGAAGCTTGCTTCCCTGTCTCATGTTTTGATCGTCCCGGGGCCCGACAGCAGCCTCCCATGGTCGAACACCGCCAGGGTTGAAACACACGATCAGCCCACTGGAAGTCTGTGGAGGGAGGGAGGGATGGTGCGGTGCCACCACTGATCTTCCAGAGTGTCGAAACGTTGCCTCCAGACCTCTACGGACGGTCGGGCGCTCATGTCCGCGCCTGTGCGCGTTTCCTTCAAGAACGGTGATGTGGTGCTGTGGCGCTAGAGATTCGAGACAGAGCTGGAGAAACATGCTAGCAGACCGATCAGGAGTGCTGAAAACACGGGCTACACTTACATCTCAAATGTCCCCATGCCATCTTCTGGTGATCCAGGAACGTCAGAGGCAGATGGTGCTCTGGCCGTGGGAGCCCTCGAGGAATCCGCGCGCGCCCCCCCCAGGAATCCGCGCGCGCCCGCGCCCCCCCCCCCCAGGAATCCGCCCGTACCCCCCGAATCCTGAACATGTTTTGCAAGTTCAGGAGGGGAGAAAACACACAGACACAATTAATCGCCGACCATCAGGAACATATGCGAAAATATGGGAAGTGGGGGGGAAGACAAAAACCAAGAAAATATGGGAAACTATGGGGAATCTTTTTATTTGTGTGTATTTATGTGTGTGTGTGTGTGTTCTGGGGCCTCTTTACAAGTCTAGTTCTTGCTCTGAGTTGATGCTTGGGAGGCCTCTGGAGATCCTCGTCGCCACGGCTGGGTTCTCCCTCAAATGTCTGGCCAGGTTCGGGGACGGATATCCGAGCAGAGGGTCAGGATCGCCATGGAGAGAGGGTCCTGGAGGAACGCTGTCCTGGGGGGGCCTGGGTGCAGGTGGGCAGTCTCGTAAGTAATGCGAGCGGCGGCAGCTCCTGCTTCAGGATTTAATCGGAGCTGGGGGTCAAGCCTGCACCTGACCCCCCCCGCGAGCCTTCAGCAGAGCCGTGTGGATCCCGAACAGCAGGGTCCTGCCGTCACGCTTCATGGAAGAGGAGGCGGCGAACGCCACCACGAAGCGGGGCCGTGTCGCGAGGGGGGGAGGGGAGGAGGGGGGTCCTGAAGGAACGGGAACCTGCAGTTTCTGGGCCGCTTTCGGGACCCCGAGGCCCTCCCCCAGCCCCCAGGACCGTTAAAGAACGGCTCAGGACGAGAGGCTTGTCCCGAGGAGCGCCTCGGGGCCCAGGGCCGGTTTCCACCAGAGCCTTTCTGGCCGCAACCTTGGCATGGCGGTGTGGCCTGGGAAGGTATCGATCTGGCGGGCTCCGCTTCTCACTCGTCGGCGAACATCGGCTTGACTCCCTCGTGTGCCGTCGTGACCTGACCTCCCTCTCCTCCTTCCGCCTTCTTTCGCGAGGGCATGTGGAAGTCCATGTGCCCGACTGGTGGGATGCTCTTGTTCTCCGAGCTGGCTCCCCAGGAGCGAACGGGGCAGGCCCTAGGAGGAGGATGAGGAGGAGCCAATCTGGGCCAGATGTTATGTGCGGTCGCACCCGTTGGGGCTCCATATCGAGGGTGGCGGCGAAGCAGGTGAGAGCGCAGTGCGTGTCGGGCTGGCAACTCGGAAGTTCATACGCAACGTGCAGACGCGCCCACTGGGGCCTCAGCTTGGGAGTCCCACGCTAGGGAAACGAAACGCGTGATGGGGCAGGTCTCTCCTGGGCTCTGGCGCAGTGTGTGAACGCACCCGCTGGAGCATCTCTGGGTGGGGGTCCCTCGGCGCGGGAGGGCGATGGGGTGGCAACGCACGGCGAGGAGGTAAGAGGACGGAAGAGGAGGGAGGCTGACGGGCGAGGGGGCGAGGCAAGCCGGGTGAGCTCGCGCTACGTCTGACCTCCTGCTCCTCCCTGCCGTTCCCGCCCGCTGCGCCGATCCGTCCTCCACCCGCGGACGTGTGCCACAGTTGACCTGGGACTGCAATGCCCCTTCGCGAGGCACCGCAAGAGCAGCAGCGGTGACCAGTGGGACCATGGGACCTGTGAAAACCGGTGGGACCTCTGTGGCCTGTGGTACCTGTGGTACCCTCCTCCTCCTCCTCCTCCTCCTCCTCCTCCTCCGCCTCCGCCTCCTCCTCCTCCTCCTCCTCCTCCTCCTCCTCCTCCTCCTCCTCCTCCTCCTCGGGACCTGTGGGACCTGTGGGGCAGGTGGGAACTGTGGACCTGACCTGTGCGACCTGGGGGGGCATCTGTGGCTCGTGGGGCCTGGTAGACCGGCGACGCCTGTGGGGCTCGTGGGGCCTGTGGGGCATGTGGGACCCGTGGGACTTGCGAGAGCTGCGAGGCCCTGGGGCCTTGTCTGTGGAACCTGTCAGGCCTGTGGCACCTGTAGGCCTGTGCGACCTGTAGGGTGGGACCTGTGGGACGACCTGCGACACATGGGGCGTTCCAAAAAGGGCCTTGCTTTCGAGGATACAAAGAGCTGTCATCCCTTCCTCGGCGGAAGGCGACGGAAGGGCGGCGGAAGGTCGGCGGAAGTAAAACGAGGCCGCTTCCGCCGGCGGCAGCCGGCGGAAGCTCGGCGGAAGGCGGCGGAAGTAAAAGATGTGCTGCCAAAAGATGAAAAGATGTTTAGGTTCAGGATTTCCGAACTCGCCCACATGTGGGTCGAGTGGGACCCGCATGGCCTGCGAGATCTGCGAGACCCGTGGGACACAGAAAAGTGGCGCACGCTGAGGCGATAGCACCATTGTGAGTGACGGAAGCAAAGCCGATCTGGAAATGAGGCCCACGCTGCAGCGAGAGCACCAGGTTGAAAAAAAGGAAAGCATTCGGATCGTAAAACACCGTAACAACAGTACTGAAAAAATGATACCCTTGGTGTTAAAGCAACACGCGGATAGGGCGGAGCCACGCCCCGCACAACTTCAGGGGGTAGAGGAGAGTAGTTTTCAGATTGAAAAATTGTTGACGACGCGCCGATGTTGACAAGGCAAAGATAAAGTATCACGGGAGATTCTGGAGTTCAGCGCCAAAACCGTCAGTTCTTTTATTAGTTGCCGTCTTGGGGGATTTTGTTGCCACGGCTCGGCGCCGTTCGAATCACGTACTGTTACTGGCGCGTCGTCATGATTGTGTTTGTGAGTGGGGCGGGCGCGTGGTTGAATCCTGACAGAATTTGGGGGAATGCAGTGTGGACTTGTTGGTCTGAGGCGCGTGTCAACAGGTACGCCTTCTGTTTCGCTGACCCCCTTTTCAAACAATCTGCTGTGATCTAGCCTTCTTGTGTTAAGTCGGGCCTGTCCCTCTACAGGAGAAACATTGCAAAATAGTCAATGAGCCTGACGAAGGACCCAACCATCTGTAGTTGCGAATACCGCAATTATGGGTATCGTATTCGGTGGAGCTCCTTATGGGGCCACGAAACGCTGCACTGGGTGAGGGAGACGCATGCGAAGTTTGCCACTGGGGCCTTCGGTGGAGCTCCCTATGGGCCACGAGGCGCTGCACTGTGTGGGGGAGACGCATGCGGATTTTGCCATTGGGGCCTCCGGTGGAGCTCCCTATGGGCCACGAAACATAGTGCTGGATGGGGGAGACCATTGTGGACTTTGCCACTGGGGCCTTCGGTGGAGCTCCCTATGGGCCACGAGGCGCTGCACTGTGTGGGGGAGACGCATGCGGATTTTGCCATTGGGGCCTCCGGTGGAGCTCCCTATGGGCCACGAAACATAGTGCTGGATGGGGGAGACCATTGTGGACTTTGCCACTGGGGCCTTCGGTGGAGCTCCCTATGGGCCACGAAACGTTGTGCTGGGTGGGGGGGACGCATGCGGACTTTGCCACTGGGGCCTTCGGTGAAGCTCTGTGTGAGCCACGAAGCGTTGTGCTGGGTGGGGGAGACGCATGCGGACTTCGCCAGTTTGGCCGTCGGTGGAGCTCGCTATGGGCCACGAAACGTTGTGCTGGGTGGGGGGGGCGCATGCGGACCTTGCCACTGGGGCCTTCGGTGGAGCTCTGTGTGAACCACGAAACGTTGTGCTGGGTGGGGGAAACGCATGTGGACTTTGCCCGTGGGGCCTTCGGTGGAGCTCCCTATGGGCCACGAAACGTTGAGCTGGGCGGGGGAGACCCATGCGGACTTTGCCGCTGGGGCCTTCGGTGCAGCTCCCCATGTGCCACGAAACGTTGTGCTGGGTGGGGGAGACGCGTGCGTTTTTTACCAGTAGGGCCGTCGGTGGAGCTTTCTATGGGGCCACGAAACGTTGCGCTGGGTGGGGGGGGACGCATGAGAAGTTTGCCATTGGGGCCTTCGGTGGAGCTCCCTACAGCCCACGAAGCGCTGCACTGGGTGGGGGAGACGCATGCGGACTTTGCCACTGGGGCCTCCAGTGGAGCTCCCTATGGGCCACGAAACGTTGTGCTGGGTGGGGGAGACGCATGCAGACTTTGCCACTGGGGCCTTCGGTGGAGCTCTGTGTGAGCCACGAAGCGTTGTGCTGGGTGGGGGAGACGCATGCGGACTTCGCCAGTTTGGCCGTCGGTGGAGCTTTCTATGGGCCACGAAACGTTGTGCTGGGGGGGGGGGCGCATGCGGACCTTGCCACTGGGGCCTTCGGTGGAGCCCTGTGTGAGCCACGAAACGTTGTGCTGGGTGGGGGAAACGCATGTGGACTTTGCCCGTGGGGCCTTCGGTGGGGCTCCGTATGGGGCCACGGATCGGTGGGGCTCCTTATGGGGCCAGGAAGCGCTGAATTTGGTGTGCGGGGCGCAAACGGGCGGTCCCATTGGGACCTTCGGTGGGGCTTCGTATGGGGCCACAACCAACACGCTGTACTGGGTGTGCGGGACGCATGAGGGTGGTCCCACTGGGACCTTCGGTGGGGCTCCCTATAGGGCCACGAAGCGTAGTACTGGGTGATGGCGACGCATGCGGACGGTCCCACCGGGACCTTCGGTGGGGCTCCCTATGGGGCCACGAAGCGTTGTGCTGGGTGTGCGGGACGCATGCGGGCCGTCCCACGGGGGCCTTTTTTCAGGTGTAGCCAAGCTCGCGCGGCGCGAGCCCAGGTTCAAGCAGCTGCCAGGGGGCAGCTGTCGGCGGCAGGCGAAAGCCTCGGGAAGCCGAGCAGCAAAGGAACGAGCTGGCCAAAAGGGCCAGCCCGCCGCTGCCGAGCCAGACCCGCCAGCCTGCCTTCGCAGTCGGGCGCGCCCTCTTCGGCGGCAGCCCTTGCCTGATATGCGCGACCTTCCCGAGGCGGTGCTGCAGGTCTCGAGCGGTCTCGGGTAACTTGCGCTCGGCGGACAAGCCCCTGTGCTTGCCGCCTATCACGCGGGCATAGCAGTGGCAGCGCGTGCACACACGATACCCATTGACAGTGCACAGCACGTGCTCGCCGCCGTCTACCCCTGGGACCCCTGTGCCTGCAGTCGCAGAGGCCGAGGCAGCGAGGGGCCCCGAGGGTCCAGGCGGGCCAGCGGTGGCACGAGGCACAGGGTCGGCCACAGAGGCAAACGATGCCGCCCCCGAGCTGCCGCCAGCTCCTCCAGCGGGCTCAGTCGGGCCGCTGCCGCGCCGTGCGCTGACCGCGGGCTCGACGGACGGTGCGGGAACAGTCACAAAAACAGGCGAAGCGGCGCCCGATGGGCAGGCGTCAACGCCAACAGAGGGTGCCCCGTCAGCTCGGTCGGCCTCACTCACGGTCCCGCTCGCGCCGGAGCCAGTCGCAGCAGCCAGCAGGAAATCTATTTTTTTCTGGACTGCCTTGCGATCCTCGACACTGGGCTCGTCGCTGCAGCCGATGGGGCCTCGCCCCCCCCCCCCCCCCCCCCCGCAGGGCTGCGGGCCCGAGAACGGCTGCCCCTTGGGGGCGGCGGTGCGTCCTGCTCGCCAACCTCGGTGGCCGCCAGCGCTGCAAAGGCTGCGGCTGATGTGGCCGCCGTCGCCAATGCCGCTCGTGCAGGCCTCTTCCTCACAGAGCTGCCAGAGTAAAGGGGTGCGCACGGCTTGGCTACGCACGGCTTGGCCCAGAAGTGGGCCTTGATGTTGTCGCTGTAGGCGGTCCTCAAGCAGCGCAGGCAGTGGATGCCTCCGTTGGGGGCCTCAACGACCTCGTGGCCCGTGAGGTGGAGGAGGATCTTGCCTTCCCGCTTGGCCGCCGTCTCGTCGGATACATCAGCGCGGGCATCAGCGGCCTGGCCCCCAGCAACCGCGACCCAGAAGAACGCCGCATCAAGCGTGGTCTGCCTTGCACGAATCACCCGCCTGATCTCGTCGGTGGCCCCCGTGCGGCTGGCGATGAACTTGGCGCACCGATCTGCTCCGCAGCTGCCGCGCCTCGCTCTGTCTGTGGCCAGCCCTTCCTGTGCGTGCTGCGCCGAAGCGTGGGCCTTGACCTTGGCAACGCGCAGGCCGTCGCCGCTGAGCCCTCCGAAGTCCTGAATCGCGTGCCAGACGCGGACCCAGATCTCGGCCCATGCTGAC